TGTGTACCTCTGGTTCCTGTCCTGGAACTCGCTCTGCAGACCAGGCTGGCCTCAAACTCACAGAGATCCTCCTGCCTCTGCCTCCTGGGTGCTAGGATTAAAGGTGCCACCGTCACCTGGCTCCTCATATCACTATTAACAGAAAAACTCGGATTTTTTCTTTCCATCCTCTCTCCCATTCTGTATGAATAACTATTGTTGTGGGCTAGGTAGGAGTGTTGAGACACACCCCTAGGCCAGGTCTGCCCTTCAGTTTTGAGACAGGGTCTACTATAGACCAGGAGGTTCTTCTTTTTTTTTATTTAAATGTGTATTAGTGTTTGACCTGCATGTATGTCTTATATGAAGGTGTCAGATCCCCTGGAACTGGAGTTGCAGACAGTGGTAAGCTGCCATGTGGTTGCTGGGACTTGAACCTGGGTCCTCTGGAAGAACAGCTAATGCTCTTAACCGCTGAGCCAGTTCTCCTGTCCTTTTTCCTTTTATTCTTGAGATAGGGTATCACTTTGTAGCCTAGACTGGCCTCACTCTGCAGGTGCTGGGCTCACAGACACAGCCTTCAGTTCGGGCCTCCCATAACATCTGAACAACAATGTTCAAAGTCGATGGGACCGTAAGGAGCAAAGACGACCATGGGAGCAGGAGAGTCTGAGTCAGGAAGGCTGCCTTCGTCACCGTTCCCAACAGATAATTTCATTGCTCTGTCCCCTGGCCTGTTCTTCCAGTCAGCATCACTTGAGTCTCAGCCCAGGCCAGAACAGGGCGGCAGGATGCAGCCCTACCTAAACTATCAAGTCACCTGCCAGCTAATACCAGTCTAGAGTCCTCACACCCAGTACTCAGGACTCACTCTTACAAGGCTCTAGATCAAGAACTGACAGCCTGCAGTTATCAACCACATGGGCTCAGCTGCCTTCAGGCTAATAATGGTTTTATATATTTAAATAGTTACATCGCAAATGGTTATATAAGTACATTAATTTTGCCAGATATTGTGGCATATACCTTTTAATCCCAGCACTCAGGGCAGAGGCAAGAGTATCCCTGAGTTTGAGACCAACCTGGTCTACATAATGAGTTCCGGTCCAGCCAGGGCTACATGGTAAAACCCTGTAACAAAATAAATAAAAACACCAATTTTGTCTGGCCTGTAGTATGTCAAAATTTACTATCAAGAAAAAGTAAGGGATGGGGGGATGGGGTGGGGAGAGGCTCCCCAGTTATGATCGCTGGGTGATCATGAGGACCCATACCCACGTAACATGATGCCCTCTCCTGACCTTCATGCATATGTGCATATACACTCACACGTGCACATACATTCACACGTGCACACACTCACACATGTGCACACATGCACACATTTACGTGAATCTTTTTGAAGACAGGAACAGAAGGATCCTGAATTCAGAGTTAATCTGGACTACATTAGCAGCCTGAGGCTTTAGGCTTGATCCCAGGCACCTACCACCACCAAAGAAAAGGAAATACAGCTTGCTAACCATTAATCTAGTTAACAGGAGAAAATACATAATAGAGGTATGCTTCGTGAGACCCACCCATAATTGCAAGACTAGGGAAGCTGAGGCAGGGGACTGAGGCCAGCCTGGGCCACAAAACAATCCCCCCTGCCCCCGCAGAGTGATACAGGCCTGTAATCCTAGCAATTTCCAGGCCAACTTCTACTATGTAGCAAACTCAAGCTACATGAAAACCAATCTCAAAAAAATTTTTTTTTCTTTCAAGCCAGCCAAATGGCTGAGTGCTTCCTTACAAGCCGAACATCCTGAGTGTAGTGGACATCCATGGTAGAAGAAACCAAGCTGTCCTGTGACATCCAGACATGGACAGTGGCATACACACATACACAAAAAGACTAGCCTAGACTACACAGTGAGACCCTGTCTCATAAAATAAATTTTAAAAAATGAGAAATATCCAGCTCACACCTGTAATCCCAATCCATGGAAGGCAGAGACAGAAGTTACCAGTTCAATGCTAGCCTGGGCTACTGTGAGACTCTGTCTCAAAACACAAAAACAAGGGGTCAGGGAGATGACTCGGAAGATAAGAGGGATTAAAATCTGCTCTTGCAGAGGACCACACTGGTCCCCAGCACCTACATGGTGGGTGGTTCACAGCAGCCTGGAACTCCCCCAGCACCCACAAGGTGGCTCACGACAGCCTGTAACTCCAGCTGCAAGGGACCTGACACCTGACCAGTGAAGGCTCGTACATACCCATGAACTCATGCAACGCACATAAATATTCAACAAGCTTTAGAAAGAGACTATAAGGAAAAAGTGAAAGATACCAGCCCTGGGCTGGGTGGTGAGGAGCAGTTTCTGGTCCACCATACACAGGCCCGAGGTTTATCCTCAGTGCCAAGGAGAAAAACAAGAAGCTCCCCATGCTCCCCATCCCAGGCCCACCAGCAACAGCCTTTCCCATCAGGATGTGCGTCCCTACACTGTCACACCTCAGACCCCTCACTCGTGGGACCCCTCTGCCCACCCTCCAGGCGGGACGTGGCTCCATTTGGAGTACAAGTCTCCATCGTGGAACCTGGCTTCTTCCGAACCCCTGTGACCAGCCTGGAGAGTCTGGAAAACACGCTGAAGGCTTGCTGGGCCCGGCTACCTCCGGCGACACGGGCCCACTATGGGGAAACCTTCCTCACTTCTTGTGAGTAGCTGGGCCCATATTGAGTGCACGGTGGGAAAGAGGGCCAGGAAGGTCAGGCCTCGTAGGGAGGGTATCGCTTCCCAAACTGGGCAGCCAGCCCAGGTGATCTATAAGACAGCCTAAGAGGGATGGCGGGGAGGGAAGGAGTGAGTACACGCACACTAACCATGGGCATCTTCCAAGATACAGATCTCCAAGTGCAGCGCCGCGTCATGAACCTGATCTGTGACCCAGACCTGGCGAAGGTGACCAGCTGCCTGGAGCATGCCCTGACTGCTCGTCACCCCCGAACCCGCTACAGCCCGGGCTGGGATGCCAAGCTGCTCTGGCTGCCCATCTCCTACCTTCCGGCCAGCCTGGTGGACGCTGTGCTCACCCGGGTCCTTCCCCAGCCTGCCCAGTCAATCTCCTAATTCCAACTTTCCAGCAAAGGGCTGACTGTGAAGGGCAAAACATGTCAGGAGCCATTTTCCCAAAAAGTATAGTAGGGACCATTGTCCTGGGGATGTTTGCGGAGAGCCCCACACCCCAACTGTATTGAGAACTGTTTGTTGGTAGAGCTCACCCCACACCCAACTATCTTGAGAGCTATCTGTTATCGGAACCCACCCCACATTCCAATTATCTAGGGAATTGTTTGTGGTTGGAATCACAAAAGGAAAGGTTCCGCTTGCATAGAGAACACTAGGTGTGTCTACTTGCGACCAAGTGTAGACTAGTGACCATTGCTGCCCCGGCAAGATCCCTTCCTGCCCTTGCCATGCCCCTGCCCCCATCCCAAGCCAAATTCCTCATTCAAGGGCTATATAAGCCACAACCATTTCACTAATAAAGTGAGGCTTTGACAAGAGAATTTTGCTTGGCCTCGTTCCTCTTTCCCGCCCATGTCTTTTTCAGATCGTGCGTCTTCGGGACCCTGGAATAACTGACCCGCTGGGCAGGTTTACAAAAACATGTATTTCTGTCTCCATTCTGGTGCTTCCTGGTTCCTGGCACAAAGTTGGCTCTCAACAAATATGTATTGTTTTAAAAGGAAAAGTAGGTGGACAGAAGTGAAGGTACTCGTGGGAGCCTGGCAAGATTTAGTGTCTAAAATCCCTCAGCTGCCTAAGGCTGGCACTCTTTCTGCCTGCAAAACTTCCGTTGTCCACTGGAGGGGTTTAAGGAACTACCTTCCACTTAGGCTTTTTGGAGTTGCACTTGGAGAGATGGCCACAAGAGGGCACTTTTGTCCGATTTTTCTGCGTGGAGTAGTGAGCATTCATTTGCACCTGGCAGGGCATTATCTAATGTTTGCTGGATTGGGTGGCTTCCATGGAAGAAGGAAATACTTAAATTCCCCTATTATCTAATGCAAGAATCAAGACACTGGCTGCATAGGTCTCAAGCAACTTAACCATTCAAAAAAGGAGCCAGGCCTCCTCAAGAACTGAGGAGGAGTCTGCTGGCCCTCAAAGCATCAGAAGGCCAAGAGTTGTCCAAAATAGACATGGGCCAGGCTTTACCATGTAGGCCCTGTGTGGAAAAATCCCTTGGTCTTATGCAGGATATGGCCTCGTAAATGCTCTAGGAACACTGAAGACCCAGCAGACAACACAAAACAGGGCTCAGAGAGGGGACACTGGCACCTCCTCCTCTGGTCCCCACTTTTCCCACGGCCAAACCAGCCAACACTAACAAAAGACTCCTTTCCCAAGACCCCCCTAAATATGCCTGCCTATTCCCTGGACCGGGACTGGAAGAAGGAAAAGGAAGGGGCCATCCTTCATTCTAAGATAAACTGAGAACATCTCCTTTTCAGATCTGAAAAAAATAATCCATTTAATTGAAAAACCTGGAGAATCCACTCTCTTAGATGAAAAGACAGAAGAGATCAGACCCCCCTACATTACTTCATAGCCACTTCGGATACTTTTCACCAGACAGCAGGAGAAGATGATTCCCAGGACCTACAGGAAAGATGGAGATGAGGGTGGGGAGGAGGCAGGGCCAGCGTCCCCAAACCCATCCAAGGGCCACTCTGCCCAGGCCCCCCAGATGCCCTGCACGCGTTCCTCACCTCCACAAAAGCAATACCCAGGGCTGCCGCAGCCACCAGCAATATATTCTTCCTCAGGTCAGCCCCCATGCTCTGGACGCAGCCCTGAGGGAAAAGCGAGCATGAATACCAAGAGAAAGAGACGTCCTACCTCCCTGCTATTCCAGCTCCCAGCCCTCTCCTCCCTGGAGCTCAGCCCCAGCCCTGATCCCGTTAGCCTCTCTCCTGCCTCCTGAAACATTTCCCAAGTTTCCCGGGTCTAATGTCTTTTCCCTACCTGAGTATGGATGGTGGGTAATTTGAAGTCGGTCCCACAGCCCACAGTGACGTTGACGCAGCAGGAATCGGGGACTCGGTCCTTGGCCATCCCAGGGACAGTCTCCCAGTCTGTGTAGTTATTAGCCCCACAGCAGTTAAACTAGGAGAATGAGGAAGGGAGGGAGGAAAGCTGCTCAATCAAGCCAGAGACGAGAACCTTCCATCCCCACAGTCCCTCTTCCCGGCCTTCCCACTCACTCGCTGCTGCCACCCGTCCAGAACCGACGCTGTTCTGTTGTCTTTCAGGTAATTCTGCATCTGCTTCTGGAAGCTCTTACTGACCTCTGACTCCACCTACAAGTAGGAAAGCATGTTGGGAGAGAGAATTCAGGCCCTGGAGTCCCAGGGTGACCCGAGCCAGGGCTCCCCTGTTCCCTGCTTACCTTGTCTCTGAACACGTAGCCAGCAATGGCCACAGCCACCTCCACAAGCACGATGAGAGACAGGAAGACGGCAAACTGCAGAAGCACAGGGCAGGCGTCGGGTTTGACCCAGCCAATTCCTGGTGCTCCTCACCCACCCGCCCACCTCACCACAAAAATGCCCTCCGGCCGTCACAGGAGTCACGCTGTCCCCCCATCACTCACTGTAATCATAAGACAGGAGTTCTCCTTGCAGGCCCCACAGCAGCCCACAAAGGCCACCAGGAAGAGGAAGGCGCCCACTGCAATGATGACCACAGGCAACAGGGAGGCTGGCGTGGTCTCCTGGCTGATGGTCTGATTCAAGAAAACCTGAGCTGCTACACCAACTGCAATCAATCCCACGGCACAGGCCTGGGGGGGGAAGGTGGGTTTGGTCAGATCCTCGCCCTCACACCTGATCTCCACCCAGAAAACAGATTTTTGTTTGTTTGTTTTTGTTTTGTTTTAGAAACAGGGTTTCTTTGTGTAACAGTTCTGTTATGCCCTGGAACTCTGTAGACCTTGTTCGCCTCGAAATCAGAGATCCACCTGCCTCTGCGTCCTGGTGGCTGGGATTAAAGGCGTGCACCACCATAGCCTGTCCCAGAAAGCAGATTGTTAACACCTCCAGGGAGCCCTGACTGTAAAGAAGGCAGTCTGCCCATCTGTGCCCCACAGGCTGGGAAGTTGTTCAAGGCACTCGGGGAGGGGGGGGGATCAGGTGTCACGCCTTCCTGTAAAAGGCTCTTCACACGGAGGACTCTCAGGTAGACTCTCTCCAGAACTGCCCCCTCACTCCAGTGACTAAGGTCCTAGGGCCAGCTAGGCCAGGGAGAAAGGGGGGGGGGGCCGGGGGTAAGAGTGGCCCCACTCTGGACAAACACTAGCTTCTCAAGCCAGGAGCAAAAGAAAGTGGGCTGAGCCTTTCCTTCCCCCCACCTCCATGAGAGGGTAGAGAAGAGAGATGAATACACAGGGTGGGGATTGGGGTAGCCCCGTGGCGATACCATCAGACCGTTGGCAGGTTGCCCCACTACCCCATATCACAAATGGTTGGGTCACCAGACAGGAAGGGCCAGGAGGGGGTTGAGCGGGGGTGCTGCCCATCTAGGGTGGCCATTCTCTGTCCAAACTCTCCTCCGAGGTGCCGGAAAGCCAGCGGGAAAGGGGTGCGTTCTGCCCTGGGCCGTTTCTTCGGGCTTTCCTTCCACATCTGGCCTCCAGCTGCCTCCATTCCTGGGTCCCTCACCCCTCCTGGCTCCCGCGCCAAGCCTCCCCGCACCCCGTCCCTCTGCCCCCACTACTCACGCAGAAGGCCAGCAGAAGAACGTAGAGCAAGAACTTGACACACTTCATTCCTCCTTCCACCGCCATGGCTGCTGGGCCTGGGGCCGCGGAAAGCACAGGGATCGGATCAGGCCGAGGGGGCACCGGCTCGGCAGCTCCCCGCCGGCCCTCGCAGCCTTCCCTGCGCGGCCCCCACCACGGCCCTTCCCACCCGGAAACCCGCGCTCAGATCCACGTCTCCCTGTCCCTCCGCGCGGCGGCCGCACAGGGGTGGGGGGCGCGCAGCGAGCGGGACCTCGGGATCCCAGGAGGCACGGAGGGCGCGGCCGGGCACCGTGCAGACCTCGACCCCGGCGGCCGCAGCGCAGCACCGCAGCCGGTCCTTCCTGCGCAGGATCCGGACTGCGACCCCCGCCGGCCGCCGCCCAGCGCCGAAGCCTGCGCTCGGCAGGCCGCGACCCCGGAGCCGCCAGGGCCTCCCCTCCCCGGGGGGCGGCGCGCCAGGCGCCCCGCGGGCGTCGCCAACTTCGAGGCAAAGTTGCTCGAGGGCCCGGGCGAGCAGCCGGCTGCTATCGGGCGTCTGGGCGCGCGTCCCCCCGGGGCGTCCCCGGGGGCCCTCGGCACCCGCGGCCCCGGCCTCACCTGCGCTCCCCGACGTCGCACGATGCTCTCCGGCCGCGGGTCAGCCGCCGTCTCCCCGCCTGCGCCCCCCGCTCGCGCCCCGCCTGCCGCGCGGCCCCGCCCCGGCTCCAGCCAGCCCCCTCCCCCGCGGGGTGGCCGCCAGCCTCCCTCGTGACGCGGGAACAGCTGCGGCCTGAGTCACCGGGGCTGGCGGGCGAGGGGGAGGCGAGCCCCCCGCCCGGGCAGGGCCACGTGGCCCCTACCGGGAAAGCCCGAGCCGGGCGCCGGACCCCAGGCTTCCCGGGGCCCCCAGAGGACGGAGGGACCGCCCAGAGTTGCCCAGAGGCAGAGACGAGGCCAAGTGTCAAAATGGCCTTCGGCCGACTACCACCCCCACCGAGAGTGTCACGAGAGCCACGCACCTCCCGGTTGGAGCCCCTGCCCCCGCCCCCATCCCCGAGCCCGAGCCCGTGGAGAGCAGTGCTTTGGGTGGGGCGAGAGTAAACCCTTCCAGAAAAGCCCCTGGCTTCCCGTCCCAGCATTCTAGGCTAGGGTGTTCTGATCCCAACTTCTCCATTTTCTGGGACTCCTGGGCTGAGGAAACCGGAGGAAGCCCTTGTCTTGAGCCGGTCCACAAGTCAATTACAACACGTCAGAGCCTGGGCCCTCCTTCTGGGAAAAGATTAATAAAGTCTGCGCTCCCTAGCTCCTGAGTCAGCCAGTGGTTGAAGGAGACGTGAGAAAGGGCACCAAGGCTAGCTTCCCCCTCTTGTTCCTCTTCTCATCAGAAAATGGGAAAGCTTTAATCACGCCCTTATCCCAGCACTCGGGAGGCAGAGGCAGGCAGATCTCTGTGAGTTCGAGGCCAGCCTGGTCTACAAGAGCTAGTTCCAGGACAGGAACCAAAAGCTACGGAGAAACCCCGTCTCGGAAAATCCAAAAAAGAAAAAAAAAGAAAAGAAAAACCCTGTCTCGGAAAAACAACAACAACAACCACAAAACAGGCTCTAAAGCTACTGAGAAACCTTATCTTGAAAAACAAAGAAGGGAGGGAGGGAGAAAGGGAGGAAGGGAGGGAGGGGGAAGGGAAAGAAGGTTAAGGAAGGAAGGGAGAAAGAAAGAATTAGAACTTTGGTGCCACATTGGGCACCAAAATGTAGTTTTTTGGTTTTTTTAATTCTTTATATTTTGCACTTTGGAGACCCACAACTCAACTCCCAAATAAATATACAACAATTCATTATTCTTTCTTATGAATGCCTGGCCTTGGCTTGACTTTCTAACTCGTGTGTGTTTCTAGCTCGTGTGTGTGTGTGTGTGTGTATCTCACTAAATTGTTCAGGATGATTTTGAATTTCTTAAATTATTCCATCTCTTTTTTTTTTTTTTTTTTTTTTTGGATTTTCGAGACAGGGTTTCTCCATAGGTTTTTTGTTCCTGTCCTGGCACTAGCTCTTGTAGACCAGGCTGGCCTCGAACTCACAGAGATCCGCCTGCCTCTGCCTCCCAAGTGCTGGGATTAAAGGTGTGCGCCATTCCTGCCCGGCTTCCATCTATCTTTTGTTTTTGGACTTTTATCTTTATCTTGTATACCTTTCTTTTCTTCTTACTCCAAGGCTTGCTGTGTAGCTGGGTGGCTGGCCCCTGGAGTGCTCCCTGCTCCCTGTTCCCGCTCCTCAATCTTCCATCTTCCCCGATTTCCCCTATTCATTCTCTTTCCTTGCCAGCTCCACCTAACTTTCCCCTGCCTTGCTATTGGTCATTCAGCTCTTTATTAAATCAGTCAGGTGTTTTAGGCAGGCAAAGTAACACAGCTTCACAGAGTGAAACAAATACAATCGTAAAAGAGTACAACACATCTTTCCACAGCATAAACAAATGTAACACACCTTAAAATAAGGCGTCCTTTCCTGACCTCACATCGCGCCATACATAGACATACGCTGCGCATACAGAGAAAGGTAACATGCATGAAAAAAGACAGACCTGGAGGTCTTGCAAAGACAGGCATCATGTGTTTTCTTTTAGGTGGAGTCTGTATTTTTAAGAGGAGATGGTAGTAAATGCAGGATTATTGTTAGGGATGTGGAAGGGAAAAGAAAACAGAGGATGACTAAGAGGGAATAACGGGGGGGGGGGGGCAGAGAGATGGTTTGGTGTCTAAGAGCACAGACTGCGCTTCCAGAGGACCCAGGTTCGATTCCCAGCACCCACATGGCAGCTCACAACTGTCTGTAACTCCAGGAGCTCCCACCCTCACATAGACATATATATATACAGGCAAAAACATCAATAAATTTAAGAATAAAAGAGAGGGAATAGCAGGGGTAAACAGTCCTGTATGGGAATGTCATAAAGCCAGGCAGGAGTAGTGGACCCGCACTTGGCAGGCAGAGATAGACGGATCTCTGAGAGTTCGAGGCCAGCCTTGCCTACAGAGTGAGTTCCAAGACAGCCAGAACTACACAGAGAAACCCCGTCTCAAAAAAAAAAAGAGAAAGAAGTGTCATATTGAAGCCCCCAACAATGCTGCCTCATACAGCACAGAGCGAGCCCTGGAGAGCTGACTGGGCTGGTGAGGGATGAAGAAAGTACAGGCACATGGACAGAGAAGCCGGCACCGGGTGGAGCATGTGTGTTTTCTGAAGGAGAAGCACTCCACACATTTACTGTGTTTACTGAACAGTGACATGAGAAGGGGTGGGAGCCTTCTGTAGGGAGCGGCCTGGGGCTGTAAACAACAGGTGGGAGGAAGCTTCTGTCTGATGCTTTCTGTGAACTCAGTCAGCATCCACACAGGAACCCGAGGAGAAGCTTTGCGGATTCCTCTGGGTCTGTGGCACTGGAGTCTTTAATACAGCCATGCTCACATCCCTCGGGACTTCATCTGCCCTGACACATTGACTCAGGGCTCACTTCACTTCCCACACAATGTAAACCCACTGGAAAGGAAAATGCAAAGATAAGGCTGGGCTGGGCTGGCTGGGCCGAGAAGCAGTGGCCAGAGTTACGTCCTCCCAGAAGAGTACACCAAGCACATTAGAGACCTGGCTCTCCCTCATCACCGCAGGATATGGAGGAGAAGTCAAGATGCCTTAGAAAAGAGTATTCATGGGTTTTCTTATTGCGCTTCTACCAGAAGCCAGGCCTGTACTGGGCAGAGGGCAGCAAGGACAGAAAGAGAGTTGGTCTGTCCTCTGCCATGTTCTTTTTTTTTGGGGGGGGGGGGAGGATTTTCAAGACAGGGTTTCTCTGTAGCTTTTGATTCCTGTCCTGGAACTAGCTCTTGTAGACCAGGCTGGCCTCGAACTCACAGAGATCTGCCTGCCTCTGCCTCGAGTGCTGGGATTAAAGGCGTGCGCCACCACTGCCCAGCTCCTCTGCCATGTTCTATGCACACTGCAGGAGGGCAGAAACTCCTGGTGAGCCACAAGAGCTCTAGGGGGAGAGTGGACCCCAAGGTGAGTAGGACTCTCCAAGGTAACCTTGCTGCATAAAAGGGAGACTCTCAGCGTTGGGGATGGGGAGTGAGAATTAGCCAGCAGCAGCTCCTCAGGCTTGGAGTTGGGGGCTCTCAGTGGTGACCACGTGTTTGTCATGTTCAAGGCCCTGGGTTCCATCTCTAGCAATGCAAAAAAAAAATTAAAATAAAATTTTCTAGCTTTGATAGTGATATGATAACGCAGGAAAATTCGTCTAACTCTTTGAAGGTGCATGCTAAAATATGGAAGGAAGGGTGCCACATCACGCCTGAACTGTGCTTGGAATACTGAGAGACAATAAAGGAAGCTGAAAGATGAAGAGTAACAGGATGGTGAGTTCTATTACTAGTTATCACTAGTTCCCTCACCCAAGGCCATCTTGGGTATGTCCCAAAGGAAAACACAATGGGACGGAGGGTAAAGGGAAGCCCTTGAGAAGGTAGCATGAGCCTAGAGATTGGGCTTACGACACTGGGGTGACAGCCACCATCCACAGGGCAGCAGTCAGGAAAGGAGACCTCACCTAACTTAAGAAGCTCCAGACTGGTATCCAGGTGGCCACATCCTACCAGAGGTTGGATGTGAAGCTCGGGAGACAAGGGACAGTCTAGAGACAAAAGCCAATGCGTCCAAGCCACTCCAGAATCTCCTGAGTGCAGCAGCTCAGAGACAGCCTGGATAACATATCAAGAACTATTTCCTAAAGATTAGTTCATCTACAAAGGGGTGGGCAAGAAGGAAAAAAGAGAGCTTAAAAAACACACGGGTGTGGACGGGGAGATAGCTTACTCAATAAAGTGCTTGCTGATCCTCCCCACACGCCTCCACACCTGTGCACACACCTCCACACCCATTCAACACCTCAACACCCATGCAATACCTCCACACCCGTGCAACACCTCCACACCCGTGCACACACCTCCACATCCATTCAACACCTCCACACCCATTCAACACCTCCACACCCATGCACACACTCCACACCTGTGCAACACCTCCACACCCATGCAACACCTCCACACCCATGCAACACCTCCACACCCATGCAACACCTCCACACCCATGCACACACTCCACACCTGTGCAACACCTCCACACCCGTGCAACACCTCCACACCCACATCTTCACACCCGTGCAACACCTCCATACCCGTGCACACATCTTCACACCCGTGCAACACCTCCACACCCGTGCAACACCTCCACACCCGTGCACACACCTCCACACCCGTGCAACACCTCCACACCCATGCACACACCTCCACACCCGTGCATGCACCTCCACACCCGTGCATGCACCTCCACACCCGTGCACACGTGTCCACACCTGTGCACGCACCTCCACACCCATGCACACACCTCCACACCCGTGCATGCACCTCCACACCCATGCACACACACAGAGGAAACAGAAACAGGTCGAAGTGGCCAGTAAAAGGACTAAAAGGGAGAGCTTGAGTCTCTTCACTATGCCAAACTTCGTGCTAAGAGCCTTCCCCAGCTCACTAAGAATTAATCATCACAACAGCCCTTTAGGTCAATATTGTCTTTCCTGTCTTTTTTTTTTGTTGTTTGTTTTTGTTTTTGTTTTTCGAGACAGGGTTTCTCTGTGGCTTTGGAGCCTGTCCTGGAACTAGCTCTGTAGACCAGGCTGGTCTCGAACTCACAGAGATCCGCCTGCCTCTGCCTCCCGAGTGCTGGGATTAAAGGCGTGCGCCACCATCGCCCGGCTGTCTTTCCTGTCTTACAGTTATTTATAGTGTGTGTGTGTGTGTGTGTGTGTGTGTGTGTGTGTGTGTGTGTGGAGGTCAGAGGACGACTTCCAGGAGTCAATTCTCTCCTTCCACTGCGTGGTCTTCCGGCTCTTTTCTGTCTTAGAGACAAGGAAACTGGCGTGACCACATGGACTAACATTCCCAGAGTCAGTTAGGACAGTCTTCGAACTTTTTGTTTGCTTTTTTGTTTCATTTATTTATTTATTTATTTATTTATTCCTTTCTTTTTTCTTTTTCTTTCCTTTTCTTTCTTTCTTCCTTCCTTCCTTTCTTTCTTTTTTAAAGACAGGGTCTCCGGCT